TAATACCAGTTTCTCTCTATTCTATTTTTTTTGTATCTACCTATAGATAATTATTTTGTTATTTTCATTCTTAACAAACTGTTTGATTGAAATTGAATCATTTATAGTTATATTTTGTTATTTTATTTTTATAAATATGGATTTTTAAAGAGGAAGACAAGAACAAAAATCAGCTGTCTCTTATTAAGAAACATTAAAAATTTTAAATTAATAATTATTAAAAAACTACCCATAATTGTTTTTTATTATTCAAATCATTGATTTATTCTATTTCTTGACTTTTGTCCCTATTAAAATAAAGAGCTATAAATTTTATTTCTCAAAAGGAACATAAGTGATTTGTGAAATTTTATATACTAAATATTTTAAAGATTTATTATTATATTTCTATAATAATCTTATATAAAACAAAATTGTTTTATTCAATTAGTAAAAGTTTTAGAACTTTTTTAATTAAGACATTTATATTCCAAAGAATTGGTTTTTCTTCTTTAGTTATCTTTTATGAGTTTTTTTTGGATCCTCTTTTTTAATTATATTTTATTTAAATATATAAATCTGATTATTTGTACAAATTTTAATAGTATTATTAATAGAAACTATTAAGAGTATAGTTATAATTGTTACAATTTTTTTCCCTATAGATCTCTATCCACTATATTAAAAGAAACATTTTTTCAAAACTTTATGTTTTGAGAGTAGTAAAACTTTAAAACTTTTCTTAAAAACATCTGCTTCTCTTAGCAACAGTCATATTTTATCCTTTTTGTTTACTTTTTCTTTTTAAAAACCCTTTACCTAAGAAGTTAATATCAAGAAAAATTTTTTTAGAAAAGAGAAACCAGATAAAAAATATTTTCTTCTCTTTTCTATGGAGATTCCAAAGTCTAGAAAGAAATGTAAATCAATAACTCTATATCAATCTAGGAAACTAATATTATTACCATAGGCAAAAATGGCTTTTCTCTTAGCATATAATAGTTTTTTCTTAATTTTTTTGAGGGATTTTGTCTATTCTAGCTTGATCCTAAATTTTTTGTTATACTGGATTTTGAATAGATTGATTGACTGAAGATTGGAATTGGTTGCTCCATAGTTAGCAGAAATGTAAACAAGGATATATATGACACATTATATAAATATATTTTCTAAGCATCATAAGAACCTTAAATCTATTATAAGTCATATTTTACTATATAAATAGATAAACATTACATGAACTGGGATCTTCTTTTTCTCATTATTCTCTGAAACTGTCATGGCTATGGAATAAGTATCCTTTCTATTGGAATAGAACTTCAAGAACTCATTTTACTTATGAAAGGCATAACTATTTTTTCATTTCAAAATCACTTCAGGGTTTTTCTATTCTAATTCAAATAATTTTTTTACTCTTGTATAATATATAATACTATCAAACTCATACTCTTTTTTTGAATACACTTGATATTAGTTATAGGCCATAATCATCAGAATTATAAAAAAAGTGTATCTCTCCTTTCAAGAAACTAGTAAATTCACCATAGCAAGTTAGTTTGAAGGGATTCAAAAGGATTGAAAATTTAAATAAGGAGTATCTAATTTTTTTTAGATAGTAGTAATAGTAGAAATTTAATCCAACTGGATAACAAGCCACTCAGTAAATCTATTAAAGATAAGGTTTTAAAGAGTTTATTAATATAAATAATATATGGCTTCATATCAATATAAATCAAGGTAATTACTAGTAATGTTTTTTTTTTTTCCTTTGTTTTCTGACACACTTTTTTATTTGGTAGTTGGCTAGAGCTTAACCATTTGTCCATTTCTAGAAGTATAATAGTAAAATTGTTTTTTTAATATGTTTTCTTTCTCTTCATAGCAGAATGTTGTCCAAGCATTATATTGATAAATTCTTTTATAAAGGGATATGAGTCTTTTGATAAGTTTAATGTATTCTGGAGATATATTATTTGGTTTGTTTCAGTTTCTCCTGGAAGTCTTGAGATAAATACATCCATTTTGAAATCTTCATTTTTCTTGATATGGTATGGATTAATGCTGAATGGTTTTCTATTTCTTGTCTTATATGTTTTCTGTTTAGTTATATTATTTCTTCTAATTTTTTCATTAATGATTTCTATTTAAATTTTGTCTTCTAGTTCTTAGTCTCCCATTTCAACTTCAATAACAATCAGGATTTCAATTAGTATGATTACTTGAACTTTCATGACCATTGCCTTATCAAATAAATTGTTATTAGAAAGATTACTTTTGACCAATAACTGATTTATTGGCAATATTTGTAAAGTGTATTGTATTTGTTCTACTTGTTCTATCATATCAAGATATTTGTCTTCTAAAAATGGAACTAGAAGATCTTCTTCTTTTTTTTGTTCTATGATTCATAAATAAAGGATATGTTGTTTAAGAATATTGACTTTGATGAAGATAATATGATCAATATCTAGAATTCTAGTGATTATATTATTAATAATCAAGTATTTAATTGAGTCTGGGACTAAATTAATGATGGTTTCTTGAGTTGAAGTGATATTCAAGAAGATTTGTGAGACTCATAATTTTCTTTGTTGATTATATTTGTCTGTTAACTAGACTAAAGTTTCAATAATATGTGCTTCATTTTTTTTTTTTATATCTATAATTAAGTCAGTATAGTGCATTTATTAATCATAAATAACAAAAACTACTTTTGATACATTGGACAAATATATCTTGGCTAAACTAAATCTTATACTGATTCACTTATTGCTTTCAATTTTCAAATGAGTTTCAAGCCTCTAAATGTGATCTTGGGAACAATATTTTGTTCCAAAACTAACTTATCCATCATTGTTAGTAGGTTGCCATTGCTAATTATCCTTCAGGAAACTGATTTCTGGAAGTTATAATAAGGAAAAGGGAAAATAAAAAAAAGGGAATATCTAAAAATGCACAAATGTATGTACATGAAAAGAAAAGAAAAAAATAAAAATAAAAATACTCCATATTCTCCAAAGGACCTTTGCTAAAAAATCTCTTCTCATTAGAAATAATCCTTTTGAGATATTCTTTTTCTTTCTAATTATCTAAAAAACTTATTCATTCGTGATCTTGATTATTTTTTGTAACTATCTGAAGTACTTATCATCTACTCAGATTCAACTTCTTGTTTGTCATTTCCTTTCTTTCAATATTGATTTTTTATTTACTTGTGCCAAGTAGCAACTTATAATAGACCCCAGGTTCTTATGTAATCTTTCAGTTATATTATGTAATTACTGATATCTTTCAGCAGTCATATCGAGTTAAAGAAATTTTATTGATGTATATCTTTCATCATTCAAAAAGTCATTTCTCAAAGATCTTTTTGTCTCACAATGGTGAGAGGATTTCAATAATATGTATTTCTCTTTTTTTAGCAACCTATAAAAGTTTATGTTTTCTTATAGATATATTAATTATGTGATATGAAGAATAGGTTACTATATATGATATTGATATGTTTATTAAATGCCGTTTTGAGTAGTGCTAAAGTTTTTTAAGTTATGTAATAGTTGTTTCTTGCTTATTTGAATAGTGCTTGTTTGTTTATTTGTTTATTTATTCTTGTTTATATAAACAAGGTATTGATCTGTTAATTATATATTATGACTATTTTAGATTTATTGTGTTATTAATGACTACTATTATATGTGAGTAAGAAATATAAACATGTAAACAAGGTGTTGACCTTTTGATTATAAGCTGTGTTAATATTTTAGATCTATTGTATTGTTGATAGCTACTTTCACTTATGAGTATGAAATATAAATATATAAATAAAATGTTGATCTGTTGATTGTAAGTTGTGTTATTATTTTAGATCTATTGTATTGTTGATGGTTTATATCATATGTAAATATGAAGTAAAAATACATAAACAAGTTATTTATTAAACACATAAGTGAATTACTATTCAAACTGGCAAATATGACATGTTTGCATTATGTAATCCAAGATATAGAGTATTGATATGTTGTTTATGTCACTTTCTACTATTAAGTAATTGATATTTGAATATCCTTCTAAATATTGTGAGCTTTGAGTTTTAGTTGATTTATCAACTGAAGTTATTGCCTATAGTACTTTTCTTAGTATTAAGAAAGATGTTAACTTGTACTGACTTGGCTGATAGCTTTGTGGAATTGAGGTTGAACCTTTAGAAACTTATTGTGAATAAATTTTTTTGAGGATTTTTTTCTTCTGTAAAAAAAAACTATGTTGTAATAGTTTTTTTCTAATATTTATCCTATAATTATTATTACAAAAAAAATATAGTATTTTTGAAGCTTGGTGGCAAGCTGTTATTGTTTTTAGACTATGTATTTCTTAGATATTGGAGGCTGGTTTCTTGGTTTTCAAAAATATTACCAAAAAAGAAAATTTTTAAGAAAATTGGAAATCAGCAGAAAGAGTTTTTTTTTTTTATTAATAGAAAAAATTATAAATTACAAGTAAATAAAATTATAAATGTTTATTATTTTTACATTAAAAATTTTAATTTAAAATAATCTTATTATACTGTATATAATTTGATTTTGCTTATCAGGCATTTCTGATTCCTTGGATCAGGCCGGGATTGACAATTCTAAATAAGGATAGACGGCATTTTAAGCAATAAAAAAAACTTCCAGAATTGTGAACCATTATTAAAACGCGATAACTTGATTAAGGAGATAAGCTTAGAATCTTATTACATTATGCTTATTTCACAAAAAATCCGCATCCAAAAGATTGTATAAACACAATAAAGAGTTGTTGTTTGCACGAATAAAAGATTTGTATGCATATATCGAACGATAGAAAACGCCCATTCGCAATTGATTAGTTGTTGATTTAAAGATCTATCAGCTGTTATTTCAGTTTAATCAATAAATGGATTAATCAGTTACAGATTGACATCATTAGGTCAAGGATAAAATTTAGATAAGACTGAGATTTGATCCAACTATTCCGAGTATCATCTTTTCTTCGAAAAAATGCCCATCATTAAAATTCACGCTCGTCAAATCTTCGATTCTCGTGGTAACCCTACAGTTGAAGTTGACCTTACGACTGATAAAGGTAGCATTCTACACAATTCATGTAATTTATATTCTAGGCTGGTACAACGAAATTCACTGTTTTAATTAGGGGTTTTTCGCGCCGCCGTTCCCTCTGGTGCTTCTACTGGAGTTCATGAAGCCTTAGAATTACGTGATGGCGTTAAGACCGACTACCTTGGGAAAGGTAAAATAGGGATACAGGACACTCGACTCATGTTTCCACTACGCACTTATCAAAATGCACATTTATTTCTTAGGTGTATTGACCGCGGTTTCTAATGTAAATCATAAGATCGCACCTAAGCTTATCGAAGCTAACTTGGATGTTAAAGATCAATTTGCTGTTGATGAATTCCTTTTGAATCTGGATGGAACCAAGAATAAATCAAATCTTGGTGCTAATGCAATTCTTGGTGTCTCGCTTGCCGTTGCCAGGGCTGGTGCTGCCGAAAAAGTGAGTAAGAATTGACGGAAGAAATGGGTCATTGAATTAGTTTCGCGGGCACATGCTCAATAGTACACGAATTGTGTAGGGAGTTCCTCTCTATCAACATATCTCCGAAATCGCTGGCAGCAAAAGTCCATTTGTACTTCCTGTACCCGCATTTAATGTCATCAACGGAGGTTCCCACGCTGGTAATAAACTTGCCATGCAAGAATTCATGATCCTTCCGACTGGCGCAGGCTCCTTTAAAGAAGCCATGAAGATGGGTGCTGAGGTATATCATACCTTGAAGTCCGTTATCAAAAAGAAATATGGACAAGATGCTGTTAATGTAGGTGATGAAGGCGGTTTTGCGCCTAACATTCAAGACAACAAAGAGGGTCTCGAATTGCTTAAGCAGGCGATCGAAAGTGCCGGTTACACGGGAAAAGTGAAAATCGGAATGGACGTGGCCGCCTCCGAGTTTTATAAAGACGGCTTATACGATCTCGACTTTAAAAATCCAGATTCTGATAGGTCAAAATGGATTTCTGGTCAACAGCTCGCCGAATTGTATAACGAGTTCATCAATGAATACCCGATCGTTTCAATCGAAGATCCCTTTGATCAAGATGATTGGGGTTCGTGGAGTCACCTAAATTCCTTGATTAGCATTCAAAATGTCGGAGACGATTTGACCGTCACCAACCCTGAAAGGATTAAGGTTGCTGTGGAAAAGAAGGCGTGTAATGCGCTTTTGTTGAAAGTGAATCAGATTGGCACCGTGAGCGAATCAATCAAATCGTATGTATTCTTGGAAAGTTTCGAATTGGTTTGATTGATCTTTACCTTTATTTATTTATTTATTTATTTTTTTAAAAGGGCAAAATTATCGCAGGACAGCGGATGGGGTGTGATGGTATCCCATCGTTCTGGTGAGACTGAGGATACTTTTATTGCCGATCTTGTAGTCGGTCTCCGCACCGGTCAAATTAAGACGGGTGCGCCGTGTCGTTCCGAGCGTTTGGCGAAATACAATCAACTTCTACGTATTGAGGAAGAATTAGGCGATCGCGCAATTTATGCCGGCGAGCGCTTTAGGCATGCTCACAATTTATGAATTTAAAGTGTAAAGTGTGACCTTTTATGGTCGATGTTATGAATAGTTGGTATTTTTGCCATAATAGCAATAGCGTTCACCCCCTGAGCTCAAATCATGTGAAGATCACTTGAAAATCTACATACATATTTGACACTGGTCTGCACGTAATTCTCTGTTGTGAAACAGCAATAAACTCATAAAGGCCTCCTGTGATGTTTTCTTGTAAAAATCTCGTATTCAACGTTGGACATAAGAACGTTCGTTACAGATTTTTAAAATATTTATCAACTTTAAATACGCAAAAGTCCGTTACCCCTGCTAGGAGATCATTCGCCAGTATACAAAGAAGCGAAATGCATTCCAAGGTTGTAATTATTGGTTCCGGTCCTGCTGGACATACCGCCGCGCTTTATCTATCAAGGGCAACCCTGGAACCCGTCATGTTCGAGGGTTTCCTTGCTAATGGCTTCGCCGCCGGTGGTCAAGTACGCGTCATTATCATTATTAAATATACCAAGAAAGTTTTATACGTTTTCATTCTAATTCGAAGTGTTATTTCAAAAGCTCACAACTACCACGGATGTGGAGAATTATCCCGGATTTCCAGAAGGGATCCAGGGTTCAGAAATGATGGATAAATTTCGTCAGCAGAGTTTAAGGTTTGGAACCAAGATCATCACAGAAACCATTTCGAAAGTGGATCTTTCTACACGTCCTTTTAAATTATGGCGTGAAGGTGTGGAAGATAAGGAGCCCGATACCGCAGACACTCTCATTATTGCAACAGGAGCAGCTGCAAAGAGACTGAATCTTCCTGGAGAAGATAAATATTGGCAAAAGGGAATTTCGGCGTGCGCTGTATGTGATGGTAAGTCAAACCTATACCGATTAACACGCGTAGCATATATTCACACTGAACTTTTTTTTGAAGGTGCTGTTCCGATATTCCGTAATAAACCACTTGCGGTAGTTGGAGGTGGTGATTCGGCCGCTGAGGAAGCTTTATTTTTAACAAAATACGGATCTCACGTGTTTGTGTTGGTTCGTAGAGATAAACTTCGTGCATCAAAGGTGATGGCAAACCGTTTACTTTCTAATCAAAAGGTCACAGTTCTCTGGAATACCGTCCCCATCGAATGCAAAGGAGAAGGAAACTTCTTAGATAAGTTAATCACCAGGGACACTAAAACCAATGAGTTACGTGAATTAGCTGTCAACGGTCTTTTTTATGCAATCGGTCATGCTCCAGCTACTGCATTAGTCAAGGGCCAACTAGATTTAGATGAAGATGGTTACATTATTACCAAACCGGATACTACCTATACGAGTGTCGATGGCGTCTTCGCTGCTGGCGATGTAAAAGATAAAAAATATCGACAAGCTATTACAAGTGCCGGTTCAGGATGCATGGCTGCATTAGAGTGTGAACGTTGGTTGAGTGAACATTTTGAGTGACGGAATGTTCCCTCCGTTTTTTTCTTCAAATACGAGTTTATTTATTATGTTTGCTACCATAATACGCATATATAAAAAATACAATATTTAAACATTATCCCTTTGATCTAACCCGGCCTGGTTGCTCAGTATTTAATGTACTCTTGTTGCACGTGACCAAAATTTGCACATTCGTTTGTGTCACTACATCGTGATGAGTCATAGTTTTCTTAGATCTGAAATAAAAAAAATTGTGCCGGGCTCTCTCATGCGCTTCTTTATAGTATAAAATATCATTCGTGAGCTAATTATAGTTAATTTTCGTTGTTCCATACGAAATGACTACCGAAAAAGCGGAAGACAGTGTAACAATTGATCCTTCCACGCTGAATCCTCTATCACCGGAAGTGATTTCAAGACAAGCGACAATTAACATAGGTACACGTCTCGATCGATGTGTATCTGTTTAGGCAAGAAGCTCCCAAGGAATGACTCTCTAAAGAATAAACCGTCTTCTCATTATATGAATAGGTACTATTGGGCACGTAGCGCACGGGAAATCTACAGTGGTAAAAGCAATATCGGGAGTCCAAGTACGATAGACATTAAATTATATTTCTTTGATTAAGTAAGCCTATGGCAAGTTAACTCCCTATCATTATCTTGATTAAAGACTGTCCGCTTCAAAAATGAACTGGAACGTAACATCACCATTAAATTAGGATATGCAAACGCGAAGGTGTGTATTATCCTTGGTGATCACACTTTTACTCGGGCGTCTTTTCTTATTAGTCGCATTGTCTCTCTTTTCAAGATATATAAGTGTGAAAACAAGGATTGTCCGAGACCCGGGTGTTACAGATCATATCGTAGCGATAAGGAGGATAATCCTCCTTGCGAGAGACCTGGTTGCGGTGGAAGAATGAAATTGCAAAGGTATCATGGTTTTTCTAGATTTGCCTTAATCGCCTCACACGCGAATATTTAATTCTTCCTTTTGGCACTATCGTGTTAGGCACGTTTCATTTGTCGATTGTCCCGGGCATGACATTCTTATGGCCACCATGTTGAATGGTGCTGCGGTGATGGACGCTGCGCTTCTGCTCATTGCCGGGAACGAATCTTGCCCGCAGCCTCAAACCAGTGAACATCTGGCTGCCATCGAGATCATGAAATTGAAACACATCATTATTTTACAGAACAAGGTCGATTTGTGTAAAGAGGCCGCGTGCGAAGAACATTATCATAGCATCCTGTCGTTTATTAAGGGTAAAGAAAAACAATATATTTATATGAATATATTTTTCAGGAACGAAATCTGCATTATTTAAACTTTTTTTTTTTTTTGATATGTTAGGGACCGTTGCCGATGGGGCCCCAATAGTTCCTATTTCTGCGCAACTGAAATACAACATTGATGCAATTAACGAATATATTGTTAAAACAATTCCTATTCCTCTCCGCGATTTCACATCAGATCCTCGGCTGATTGTTATTCGTTCTTTTGATGTCAATAAGCCCGGCGCGGAGGTGGATGAGCTCAAGGGTGGTGTTGCCGGAGGTTCGATTCTGCGAGGTGTACTAAAGGTATTCTTCAGAATATGGTTGATTCTTAAAAATTGGATTAAAAGGTAATTGTTATTGCAGATCGGCGATGAGATAGAAGTGAGGCCGGGGATACTTACCAAGGATAATGAAGGTCAAATACATTGCCGGCCCATATTTTCACGGATCGTATCGTTGTTTGCTGAACATAACGATCTGAAATTTGCTGTTCCGGGTGGCCTGATCGGTAGGCATATTTTGGAGTGTAGAGTCACGTCAAAAATATGATTTCTGGTAGAGAGAATCACTTATATTCACGTGTGTTCATTCTATTTAATAGGAGTCGGTACTAGAATCGATCCGACTCTTTGTCGTGCGGACCGCCTAGTTGGCCAAGTGCTTGGTGCAATTGGAAAATTACCAAATATATATACCGAACTTGAAATTAACTATTTTTTGCTTAGAAGATTATTGGGAGTTAAAACAGACGACAAGAAACAAACCAAGGTAATTGATCCGATATCCTTCACTTGGTAGTCCTTTGTTTCAAAGTATCATGATTATATAATTGAAATAATTTATAGGTATCGAAACTCGCCAAAAATGAAGTTTTGATGGTAAACATAGGCTCCACTTCGACCGGTGGACGTGTAATGTCTGTTAAGGCAGATCTGGCCAAAATCCTGTTAACAACTCCCGCCTGTACTGAAATTGACGAAAAAATTGCATTGTCTCGCCGAATCGATAAGCATTGGAGGTATTGGAATATTCTATGGTTATTGCGACAAGTAATCTCTATATTGACAGCTTAATTGAAATTTATACATTTCATGTCAGATTAATCGGATGGGGGAAAATCAAGCGAGGTGTGACCATCGAACCCGATCCCGTTTAAGTTTTCTTATTATATTATATGCTCGTGCTCGGCCTGCGTTATAAAAATAGCACAATGCAGTTTTGTGCAGATGGGAGCTATGTTGTTTTCTTAGTGAAAGGTCGAACGCTGTAAACTTAATTATTGAAGGAACGCCTTTTAATTTATCCATTTCACCGATTTAAATGAAAAAAAAAGCCAATATTTCCCGATTGACAACAACGAAATTTTTAGTTAAAAGTATGCGACCGGATGTAATTATCTGTACACTGTTAGTGCCTTTTATATTAATATAATAAAATGATTTGATATTTTTGCTAAATTAACTTTAGACATGCTGCATAAAGAGATTTTAAACAAAATTGCATAATAATTATAAAAAAAAAAGTTGGGCACAAATTTATCAAGATAATTATATTTTAGTGATTATTTGATTTAAATTCAAGTTGGGATTATTAGAAGTTAAATTATATAGCATTATTTAAATAGGTTGTAAAACTTTGTTTTAATAGTATTATATTCAATTAAATATAAAAATAATAACTATTAATATATTCAATTAAATATAAAAATAATAGCTATTAATTCTCTTTAAGTATAGATTCTTGAAATTACTGTATACAGTATACTTAGAAAGAATTTTTTAAGAGTTATATTATATTTATTTATATATAAAGAAAATCAACTATATATTTTTTAATTTAAATTTTATAATATGAAACTTTTAATTAAAGTATTATTAAATTAATATAGACCTTTAATTTATTTATAAAAAAATTTTTTTAAACTTTTTATTAGATTGATTATATTATGAGGACTTTATTAATAGTTTAAATAAAAATCTTTTTAATTATTCATATTATTATTATATACTATTATAAATTACTAACAAGTTTTAATAAAATTATTTTATATTATATTTTCTTATGGTTTATAAAATTTGAATCGAATCATATTGTTATTTAAATTTAGCTTAATTCAATTTAATTTGAATTTAAAAAAACTTTTTTTTTTATTTTTAATTAACTTATTATATTAATTTGATTTAAACAATATTTTTTTTTATTTAATAAATAAAAAAGAATATTATTTAAATCAAATTGATAGATATTAAAATCAATATATTTAAATAAATTTTTTTAAATAAAAATTTTTTAATAATAATTAGAAAAATCCAAAATAATTTATATTATCAAATTATTAAATTAGTTTTTTTAATTCTTAATTTTATTTTATTTATCAAATTCTTATAAAATCATTATTATTAAGTTTTTTTTTTAATTTTTTATATAGATTTAATTTAATAAATCTTTATTAATTAAAAATATATTTAAATCTTATAATTTTTAAAAAAAATTTAAATTCATTTTTATTTTATTATTTTATTATATTTTATGCTTTGAATTTCATTTTTAAAGTATTTAAAATTTTTTTTTTATATTTTTAAATTAATTTCTTGACTTTTAAATCAATTTTTTTCATAATTTAACAATTTTTTTATTTTTTAATCAGATTATTTTTCATTAGATTTATATAAAAGTTAATATATCTAAATTATTTATAAAGATTTGTTTATCTAGTTTAAATATTTAATTATCTATTTCTTTTAATTTTTTTATTATTATCTATTATTAATTATATATAGTATATATATATATTTAATTTTTTTTATTGTTATTATTATTAATGTTATATATATATATATATTTTTTTTTTTAAAAAAATATTTTTTATTAAATTTTAAATAATTTTTTCTATTTTACATAAATAATAAATACTATATTATTTAATTATAAATTTTGATATTTTTATTATTAGCTTAAATAAAATACTATATATAATTTATTATTAACTAATTTGATTAAAAAAACTTTTATTAATTTTTTTTAGTAAACTATAATATATAATTAATATATAATTATTAAATATATTTTTAATAAAAAGTAAATATTATTTTACAGTTGCTTTTAAAAGTTTGAGTGAGTCTACTTACTATGTTTTTGTTATAAATTTCAACTTTGACAATTTTTAAATCCTTAAAGAAATATATTAAAAACTTTTTTTACTGATTTATATTTTTTCAGAAAATTTTTTTTTTTAATAATTTTTTTGAAAAAAAAAAAAGCCAACCCAAAAAACAAGAGAAAACTAATATTAAAGACCACTCACTTATAAGAAATACTATAGAAACAACTAGTTACAGTATAGGAATAAGTAAATACTTAAAAATTTCTAACTTTTCTATACAAAATTTTTCTTTTTCAGGAAGAACAAATAAAAATAAAAACTGAATTATAGTAAGTTTTTGGAAGCCCAACATTAATCTTACAAAACTCTCAACCAAATCAATATAGGTTAATACTTTTCTAGACACCAAGAGAAACTTTATAAGCAATAATTTAGATTGATAAATCAATCTAAACTTAAATATCCATAAAATTTAGAAGGATGTTCAAGCTTTATTAACTACATAGTAAAAAAGCACAAATATTACAACAAACAAAATTTAACAAATACACTATCACATAAATATATATATATATATTCTTTTAAAAAAAAAAAAACTAGATTACAAAGATATGTCCATATAAATAATGTTTACAGATTATCTACTTATTTACAGTAAATAGATCAACAATACTTATATTTTCACATGTTTATAACAAGTTGATCAATAATAAAAACATTATTATTATAACAAATATATGAAATATAAATCAAATTTATAGCACAACAACTTTAAGATTTTTCTGTATTACCAAACCTTCATCATATATTAAAAACAAAAAACACAAGTTAAACCTATTAATCCATGATACATGATAAATACAACAATATCAACAATACAAAAATCACTACAGATTACAAAGAAATATGAAATTTGCATCCTAGAAATCCTGATCAACTTATCAAGCAAGTATTGTGATAAAAATAGCATCTACTACCATTGGATAGTTATTTTTAGTCATGATCTTCATTCTATTTCCATTTTTAT